TCGGCTCCGCCTACCGCGACGACATGGCCGACATGCCGGCCGTGATGCACGGCGCCCAGCGCGGCAGCCGCTTCACGGAGCGCTCCGGCACCTCGGACCTGGCCAACATGACCGAGGCGCAGCGCATCCAGTGGGAGTACGAGTCGTCGCACCCGACGTCGTCGCACCGCTCCTCGAGCCTCTCGAGCCCGTCGAGCGCGTCGCACGAGAGCTACGACCTCATGGCGCGCTACCAGGACGACTACGAGGCGCCGCGGCAATTTACCAGCAGCCACGCCACCGGCGCGCGGTCGCCGCCGAGCAGCCGCCAGTCGCACAGCCAGGGGCAGCGGCCGAGGCGCCGCGGCAGCGTGGCCAGCTCCATCATCGGACGACCCGAGATGACGTCCAACTCGATGCTGCTCTAGGTCGACGTCCCGGCCCGCTCCCTTGGCATGCTCACTCTCCGGCTGCCGCGAGGTGGCCCCCTCCATCTTCCTACTCGTTCGCCATCGCACCGGCGGTCCCACCCAGCCTCTCCACGGTCGACGTTCAGCCGGCCAGACAACCCACACTCCTTCTCCTCTCTTTCTCGGTCTCTTTCCCCGACGGGGCGCGGCGACGTGGTCGCTTTGACCGCCGCCCGTTCGCCCCTCGCCCGGACATACTGCACCACCACCACCACCACCACCACTGTCGTTTCCGATCTTCTTTCGCAGAGCGCCACCGCCAAGTCGAACGCTGGCCGCGCCTTGGCTTTTCACGGGTTATCGGTCAGCAGCATCATTATTATCCTCTTTGCCTTCTCCCCCGTCCCTCCTCGTCCTTGCTCTTATTCTACACAGGGGCTCGCGATGGACGGGAAAGGGCGATGCGGCGAGGGGCCAGGCGCCCCCCAGCCCAGCCTAGCCCTGCCCTGCCCTGCTCGGGCCGTCGACCCTTGCCTCCTGATCCTCACTCTCCACTGCTCTGGCCGCGTCTCGTCCCTCTCCAGGCGGCGCGGGTGCTCGGGACGGATTGCGCGGCGACTCGGGTCGCTCTCTGGCATCGCGGGCTGCCAAGCCCTTTCCTTCCCCTTTGTCTTTGCTGCTGCTCAGTCTACTTGCAGTACCCTCGTTCGCTCTCCTTTTGCCCTTTTTCCCCCTTTCGCTTTGCTCTTCCCACTTGCCCTCGTTCTGTCCCATCCAAGAGTGGCCCTCCCTTCCCCCCGTCTCATCATAGGAAATCTTCAATCTCGACTGTCATTGAGCTATCCCCCCTCTCCCCCGCGTCGCGGGGTCGTGCATCGGCCAGAGGTGGCGGGCATGCTGGCGCGGGTCGGGGCCGGGCCCAGAGCCGATCGGCGGGCGGGCGACGCACGCGCCTCTGCGCTCGTCGAGGTGCACCTCGCCCCGTGGCCCTACGACGATGGGGAGACAGCCGCGACGACGACGAAGGTGCTACCGATCCTTTTTGTGCTGCGACGCGGGCGACGGCGGAGAGGGCAAGAGGCGGATGATCCTCATCGACATGTCTACGCACAGCACGGCTGGCAAGATGCAGAAGGGCACGTAGTTTCTGTCCGAGGCAGGGCAGAGAGGCGAGAGGGTGGGCCCGGCCGAAGGGATCAGCGACCGACCGACTGCCGTGCCGTGCCAGCGGAGCGATGGGCCAGACTCACTGGAGGAGGCCGAGTACCTCTTTCGGCGTCAGTCCGATGCCGTCGTTGCCAAAGACGAGGCTTGCTATGCACTGCATCGTCGATGAGGCGGCTGCGCGGTGGGAGGGCGGGGGGGGACGGAGCGAAGAGCAGGAGGGCGGGGGAAGGGGGAGGTCCATGGGGTAATCAGCCAAGGGGGGGTGGGCGTCATTTGCTCTCTCGAGCTTGGTGCATCGCAAGGGGGGCAGGGCAGGGCACGCACCGAGGGTACCGTAGGCGACGAGGAGCGGGTAGACGCGCACGTCGTCGCGGCGGAGAGCGACGATGCCGACGACGAAGAGGGGAAGCTGGACGACGACCTCGCTGACGACGAGGGCGTGGAACCACGTGTACGCCGCATCCTGGCGGGCGAGGGCGAGGAGAAAGGGATCCTTGAACGCCTCGAGGTAGAAGGACAGTGCGGCGCGCACGGGAGCCGGGTAGAGGCGCGGCGTGTACGGTACCAGGCTCAGCTGGGCGTCGATGAGCACGCTCGCTGCCAGGTGGATGGAAAAGTAGACGACGTAGAGCGTATCTAGCCGTCTGGACAGGAGCGGACGTGGACGTGGACGTGGGCTTGCGGTTGGTGGTTGTGTCATGCTGGGGCGAGGTGGGGCGCGGGGCGGCAATGCCTCCTGCTGCTGACGGCGGTGGTGGTGGTGGTGGTGGTGGTGGTGGGAGGGGATGGCAAAGAGAGTGAGGGAGGGTGCGGCGTGGGTGCGTGTGTGAATGCGGGGTCGCGCTACCTTGGCTCGCTGGCCCTTTGGCTTGCTTTCCTTCTCGCACACCACCTCCTCTCCTCCTCGCACCAGCCAAGCTTCACCGCCCCTTCACTCCTTCCCGCCCTACGACCGTCCAACAGCCCGACAAACAAGCCCGGTCATGATGGACTCGGGCGGATCCACGGCCAAGCGACGCACCCTCGATCCGGCCTCGACCCGCGCAGAACCAGCGAGCGGCAGCAGCGGCGCAGCGTAAGTCCCCGCTGTCCCCCCTTCCTTCGCTCCCCTCCCCCTTCGCTTCCTACCTTCCAGACCAAACAAGCTGATTCGTCAACCCCCTTTTGGGTACGGCGCATCCCCGCCACAGGCAGCAGCCTCTGACGTGCACGCTACCGCCGCATCGCAAGCCGCTCGTCTTTGCCAGCCCGGCCGAGTTTGAAAACCACTACCGCAACAACCACGCCTTCTTCTGCACCCTCCCCGCCTCCAACTTGCCGCTGCACCGTCTCGCCGGCGACGACGTCAACGGGGGCGAGGCTTCGTCCAGTCAGCCGCCGCCGCAGCAGCAGCAACAGCAGCACCAGGGACAGCAGCAGGGGGGACAGCAGAGCCGGCAAAGGAGAAGGAAGCAGACGGGCACCTGCGGCAAGGTGTTTCCCTCGGACCACTTTCTGCAGCTCCACATCGAGGAATGTCACAGCCCGCTGGCGAGGGAGCGTATGGCGAGGGGCGACAAGACGGTACGTTGCGGGGTCCTCACTGGCGCTCGTCGTGCGCCCCTGGCCTGGTCTGGTCTGGTCTGGTTCAGCTCGGTCCGCCCTCTGCGCCTTGGAGAGCCTGCACGCTGACCTCTCCTTCCTCTCCCTGATTGTGACCCACTGGAATCTCGTGCCAACGCCGCCGCCAGTTTGGATGCTTCCTCTCGCCCGACGCCTGCACGCGCAGCTTTGCGACGCCCAAGGAGCGGCGGCTGCACCTCGTCGACGCGCACGGCTTTCCCAGCACGTTTTTCTTCAGCCTGCCCAATCACGGCACGGGCCAGCTCGAGAAGAGGTACGGGCCGGGCGCCAGCCTGGTCCGGGGCGCGTGGAGGCCCAGCAAGGGTGAAGGCGATGGCAACAGCAACGGCGACGGGGACGGCGAGATCGACGAGGTGGACATGGACGAGGGGCTCGATGAAGAGGGAGAGGAGGAGGCACCGAGCGGAGGGCATGGCACATCCGTGTCGTCGTCGAGGAAGCGCAAGGAGGCTTCGTACTCGCCCGAACCGATATCCGCGCCGACGCCGACGCCGACAACAGCAGCCGTGCCGTCGTCTTCGTCGTCGTCGTCTTCGACACGGCTGCAGCCACCCGCGCCTCTCGACGCATCGGCAGCGAGTGGGCCATCGTCGACGTTGAAGGGTGCCGATGAAGCGCTGCTCGAGTCGATGAGCTCGCTCTCGCTGGTGCCGCCGAGCGTGCGCAGCCGGGCCAAGAAGAGTCAGCAGCAGGGCGGCGAGTTGAAGTCGTTGCCGTCGCCGTCGCCGTCGCAGTCGCAGTCGTTCGCTGCACGGCCATGAGGGACGGGGGGGCCAGAGAGGAGAGGCAGGGATAGACGCCCGAGATTGCGAGACGGGAAGGAGATGGTGTGGGGGAGAAGGTGAGAAGCAGTAGTGCGGGGTTAAGCAGACGAGGCCTCCTCCACTCTCTCTCGCTCTCTAACTAGCTGCTGCTGGTCGGGTCGGGCGGTGGCCCCTGCGCAGCTCAAAGAGGGCACCGGCAATAACATCGACTTTGACCCGGCGGCTGCCCCCTTCTCTGGCTGTGACTGCGCTGCGCCGTGCTGCGATGCCGGCCGCCCCGTCTTGTGACCCGACAAAGGGGGAAAGGGGGAGGGGAGGGGCATGGCAAGCTCAAGGACGGCGACAAGACAAGAGCTCGTCCACCTCGCCTTTCCCCCTCCCTCGCCACCACCACCAACCGTCACTCTCCATCGCTCAATCTCTCGTCTAGCCCCCTTCTCTGCCCCACCCCTTCCGCACCACACCGTCAACTTTGCCACCATGTCGCTCCCCGAGATGCCCAAGGGTCGCTTCAACATCGTCGCCCGGTGAGTTGGTCGGCCTCGTGTCCGCCGCCCATCTCCTTGCCGTCCTCGGTCCATGGCTCCCCAACCGCTCGCACGACGCTGACCTGATCCCCGGTCCCCTTGTGACGTGCGCCGCCACGCCACAGGATCGAGGGCAAGGGACCCAAGGAGACCGAGGAGCTGGCCCAGGTGCTCAAAAGGGTCGTCGAGCGCGCCAACTCGGACGAGGAGCCAAACACCCTCTTCTACAAGGCCCACCGCTCCGCAAAGGACCCAAACGTCCTCCTCGTCTACGGTGAGTCGCTCGCTCTTGCCCTTGGCCGGCCCCTCTGAGAATCGCACCCCGCTGAGTCCTTACGCCTTGCACCATGCACCTTGCACCTTGCACCTTGACGCCGTCCCCCCCCCCCCCCCACGCAGAGGAGTACGACAACAAGGGCGGCAGCGTCGCCATGGACGCCCACCGCGCCGGCGCCGACTTCCAGCAGCTGTTTAAGCTGGTCCCCACCCACACCAACAACGTATCGATCGAGGTGTTTGAGGGCATCTAAGAGCGCGCAGAGTTAAAAGGGCCGCCGGTATGCCTTGCTGCGTGCCTGCGTTGCCTGCCTGCCTGCCGTAGCGTCGAGACCTGAGTAGCCGTAGTCGTTCGACGACACTTTGAAATCGTACTCGGCGCCATCACACCGGCTGACTCTATCCGCATGTGGTGTGGTGCGTGCTGCATAGCGGCAATAGGGACGGGGAGGAGCGTCGGATGGTGGCGGTGTCAAGCGGACCTCGCGAAGGGGGGCGGGGGAGCCTCTCTTTTCGCACGACTGAAGCTGAGCCAGGCCCTCCCCAGCGATGACGGCGTCCCTGCCCTGGCCCAAGTCTCGCCTCGCCCGCCATCGGTGGATGTTTGAGCCTGCGAATCGGCGGTCAAGTCTGCCATTTGAAATGCCCTGGCGCGGGGGAGGGCGCCCCCTAAAACAGGCGGCGGCACGCCAGCGCTTTTCGGCTGGATTCGGGGATCGGCATAACAGACTTTGTATTGCGTCAGCCTGGCCGGGCGTGCGGGTGATTACAAAAAGTTTTCTGCGCGCAGGGCGGGCGCCGTTGGCTGGCAGCGGGGATTTGGCAAGCCAGGCCACGGCGCTGCCCGCTCGTCAGGCAGGCCAAACTTGAGCCTGGCCCAGCGCGCCCGTGAGGCCAGGCCAGGCTTACCGCCTTGAGATCACATCGGCCCGCTCGTCCATCTGGCTCGCCTCACCATCTCTCCATCACCCAGGCGCCCCTTTGACCGTCGTCCATCGTTCTTTGACTTCTCAACACCATCTACATACACCTGCTCACCGATCTACAAGAGCGCCACACCGCCCACGACCGACTGGCCGCCCTCACTTCGAGCGGCAATCGCGCAGCACCACCGACACCGGCTCGACGCCACCGTGCGTCCTCGCTCGCTCGCCCGCCCACCAGCCATGGCGTCGCAGCAGTACGCCACCCCGGTCAAGGGCGGCGCACACTCGTCGACCTCGTCGGCCACGCGTCGCATCTCGTCGGCCGACCTCGACCAGCTGCTCCGCTCGCCCGCCACCCCGCAGAGCAAGGTCACCGACTTCAACAACGGCAGCAGCGCTACCGGCACTGCAAGCACCAACGACACCAGGCTCCTCTTCCAGCAAAAGGAGCGCGAGATCGAGTCGCAGAGGCAGGGCCGCGACGCAAACCAGCTCCTCGCACAGCACCAGAACGTCTACGAGCAGAACAAGGAGCGCCTCCTCGACGCCATCACAGAGACTGGCTCCCTCCTCGCAGACCTCCGCGACTATAACACCAACAAGCGCATCATCCACTATGCCGCCGCCACCGCCCAACACGCATCGCCATCCGCGCCGCAGCCCGGCGCACTGAAGCGATCCCAGTCGACGCGACCCGGCGCCAGCTTCGACGACAGCGACGCCGCCGGCCGCACCGACACCAGCCGGCCCTTCCACCCGTCGCTGCAGCGGTGCTACACGTCCCAGGCGTCCAGCAGCAGCCTGCCCAACACGCCCGAGCGCAGGGCCCCCGCGCGGTCATCCACCGCACCCTTCGGCGGCGAGGCCGACGACATTGACAACGACAACGCCAACGACGACGAGATGTCGGTGCTCCGCCTCGACCTCCGCGTCGGCGCCGTCGGCGGCACGCCCTCGTCAGCCCTCGTCCGCTCCCTCGAGCGCTCCTCGGTGGCGCAGCTCCTCGACGGCCGCATGGAAAAGTCGCAGCGCCACCTCGAGAACCTCAAGCAGCGCATCAGCGACACCCAGTCCAAGGTCCTCGTCACCGGCGACCTCAACGCCGGCAAGTCGACGTTTGTCAACGCGCTCCTCCGCCGCGACCTGATGCCCACCGACCAGCAGCCCTGCACCACCGTCTTTTGCGAAGTCCTCGATGCCGACGACAGCAACGGCGGCGCAGAAGAGGTCCACATGCTCAAGCCGGGCACCGCCTACGACGCCAAGGACCCCTCGACCTACACGCGCCACACCCTGGCCGACATTGAGAAGATTGTCGCCGAGGCCGAGGACTTCAGCCCCGAGGACGCGCCCATCCTCAAGTGCTACGCCCGCGACACGCGCGCCACCCAGGACTCGCTGCTGCGCAACGGCATCGTCGACATCGCCTTGATCGACGCGCCCGGCCTCAACCGCGACAGCCTCAAGACGACGGCGCTGTTTGCGCGCCAGGAGGAGATCGACGTCGTCGTCTTTGTCGTCAGCGCCGAGAACCACTTCACCCTCAGCGCCAAGGAGTTTCTCTGGAACGCCAGCCACGACAAGGCCTACGTGTTTATCGTCGTAAACAAGTACGACCAGATCCGCAACAAGGACAAGTGCCGCAAGCTCGTCCTCGAGCAGATCCGCCAGCTCAGCCCGCGCACCTACGACGACGCCGCCAACCTGGTCCACTTTGTCGACTCGGGCGCCGTGTTTGGCGCGTCGTCGACGGCGGCTGACGCTACGGTCGTTGACGACGAGGCGACGCCCGCCGACGAGGCGGTCAAGAAGGTCGAAGGCGTTCCCGAGTCGGCTCCCCACTCTGCCTCCGCCGGCGGACTGACGTCGCGCAGCAGCGAGAGCCTGCGCGCCTTTGCGCGCCTCGAGGCGTCGCTGCGCGACTTTGTGCTGCTGAAGCGGTCCAAGTCGAAGCTGCTCCCGTCCAAGACGTACATGCTGCGCCTGCTGTCCGACATTGGCTTGCTGGCGCGCATCAACACGGCGGTGGCCAACGTCGAGCTGGGCGAGGCGAGCCGGGCGCTCGAGGTGGCGCGGCCGGCGCTGGCGCGGTGCCAGGCGAGCCACGCCAAGCTCGAGAGCGTGCTCGAGGGCGAGGAGGACGAGGTGGTGACGGCCGTCATGCAGGAGGCGCAGCGCAAGCTCAACGCCGCCATCGAGCTCATCGGCCGCGGTCTTCCGGCCGTCGAGTCGGTGTCGCTTCCCGCCTACCCGGGCCTGTTCAACGTGTGGGAGTACGCGCAAGAGGTGCGTCACGCGCTGACGGGCAGCCTCGAGGTGGCGCTGCGTGGCGTCGAGGACACGACGCGGGGCACGACGTCGCAGGCCGTCGACCGGGTGCAGAAGATGGGCGAGGCGCACCTGCCCGAGGGCGTCGAGAAGCGGCAGCGCATCTTTAACCCGGACGCCATGTTTGCCAAGCGGCGCTCGCTGCCGGGCCTGGTGGGCCTCGGGTTGACGACCGAGGTGGTCGAAGTGCAGCCGTCGGACTTCTTTGACGCATGGCACCACTTTGCCGTGCTGACGGGCAGCGGCCAAGGCGGCGAGGGCAAGGACAAGGCGCTGGCGTCGTCGTCGTCGCGGGGCGACGACGAGCTGGGCATGGTGAGCGGGCTGTCGCTCGGGCTGGGCGCCATCACGCTGCTTGGCGGCAAGACGCTGGGCGCCAAGACGGCGGTGGATGCGCTGGTGCGCGTGTCGGACCTGGTGGGCAACCCGACTGCCCGGCGGTGGGCGGGCCCGGTGTTCGCGCTGCTGAGTACGGGGCTGGTCGTCTACTTTATCGTCGACCTGCCCAACTCGGTGCCGCGCAACGTGGGTCGGGCGCTGCGACACGGGCTGGTGAGCGGCTCGGCGGTGGCCACGGGCGGCGCGGCGACAACCACAACAGTGGCGGTCGGGGACAAGAGCGGCGCTGGCGAGGTGCGCAGCTTTACGGCGCAGCACTCTGCCCGAGTGAGCCGCGAGACGCGCAAGGTGCTGCGGCTTGCGACGTGGGACCTGCAGGAGCGGTTCCGGGATGCGATTGCGCAGAAGCGGCAGGAGGTGGAGCGCGAAGAGGCCAAGGCCAAGAGCGCCCAGATGGCGCTCGAGTACTTTGCCGGCGCCGAGGCCCAGGTGGGGCGGGTGCGCGCCAAGGTCGACGAGGTCGTGGGCCTCGAGACGGCCTAGGCCTGGGCCGCCCCCTCGCCGCAAGTCGGCCTTTTTGTATATCCCTCTGGTCGTTGTTCGTTGCCAGACTGCTCCCTCTCTCCC